TTATACAACACTTCTTCCAAATTCTGCGTATAACTTAGTCTAAAAACTGTATGAAGAAACTGCCTGGTTCCAAACAGCATGATGCATCAGACAGATTTTTATTACCCGCAAACCAAAATAGCTGCTATTAGGTGATTCTTGCCCTGAGAGAAATATATGAACCGCATTATTGTCCAAAATTTTTTCCATAATTTTGATTATCTACAGAGCAAGCTAATAACCATAAAGTTGCGCCTCAAAAATACGTAATAGGGAAAAAACAGGAGATAATAACCATCTATTTATTGTATTGATCCACCTATGCCTATGAACTAAAATGAAATTGTGGGAACAATTTATAAGATCATTGCAATCATTACAAAGATGCAAAACAATCATAAACATAATGACAAAATCAACAAAGCACTAAGATGCATAACCCAATCATTGACTTAACATGCGATAATCACTTGATTTGTTACATAAAGCGGGCATGTAAACTCCTATTCCTTAACTATGTATCTTGGGCAATCTAGAATGTATTCTTCCATTCATCACTCCCACCAATCGCTTCTTTCGCAAGCTGGGTATCACTAACATTTTTGGGTAGCAACCTTGTAATGATCTCGCGTCGCTACTTCCATGATGTAATTGTTGATTCTTCTAAGGGCAAGATTTCAACATAATGTTCTTTCCTACCGGGCAACGATAACACTTTCTTAAATTCTGATCCTCAAGTACGCCATACCTATGTAGAATTGTTGCTAGTTGTGTTGTCGCCTTGTCGACTCAAGGTTTATCTTTGTTTGACCAGGACCGGCTTTTTAGCCTCGCTTGATCCTTTTGGGGGTTGAAACTCCTTATAGGTGATTGTCCATCCACCTATGCATACCTCCTCGTGGGAAAAAAGTGGAGTAATCTCAGCTTGAGAAACTTCTAACTCTTTTAGGGTCCGAGTTTATCTAACTAGGATTAGAGCTTGATGTGGCAAATGCAGTAGAACTCCTAATGTTGATTGCTTTCTAAATTGACTCCATTTTCCTTCTTCTCCACAAAGAGTTTGGCCAACTCCGGTTCACCTTGGCTTCCCTCTTATTGATTCTGCTCAAGATGTGAAAACCATAATGCTTGCAACATTGACATTGATAATGACTTCTTTGAGCCAGATTATTACCAGCACCCTCATTGGACTTTATTTTCTTCCAAGCTTCGCCACTTGTCTCTTCATCGTCCCTTTGGTATGTTGGTTTGACCTTCAGAAAGCAAGTAATCGCAACAGAACTCCCATGTTGAGTCATTGCTCCTTCTAATACTTGTTGCTACATAACTAAAAGCTTCCCTTGCTCTAACGCAATCAAGGACAACGTAGCCCGGTCCTCCGACTTTTGGGTGTCGGGTGGTCCTCATTATAGACCCATCCTATTAGACGGTGAGATGATTCGCATTAGAGACAAGGTTTTCATAACAGTAATGTAGACCTAAGTGAGCATAAATTTGTAGCAATTAGCAAGGTTAGTGGGGAAACAAGTAGTTAATGATGAAAAAAAAGCATACTAGAACGCTTCAGCTTAACTCAGGCTTTCGTCCTGCCAAATAAGACATTCGAGCTACTCACTTGGTAGCACTCTCATTTTAGGAACAAAACTGTATACACACCATATGTGAGACCAGTAAAGTCAAATCACATCTAGCTACAAATAAGCGGTAATATCATTGCATAATACTCATTATATAACGTACGAAGTTAAAGAATATAACCTTAGATAGCAAAATGCTGGAATGAGTCAACTCCTCGGGATCTTCGGTGAAGACATCAATTCCACAGGACAACCTCACCGGTTGATCACAAGCCTAATTTCTCCAAACTCTAGCAACTGGGTACTCATTCAGGATTTTTTACCCAAATAATTGCAATAAAGTATGTGGCATACACGTCGCACTCAACAAATATAACACATAGTCTATGGAGGCTCAAACTAATCGAATAATCATTAACCAGTGATTAGCTTTTAATTGTCACAATTTTTAGTGCAATTGAGTAGCAACATGTTTGACACCAGCCCATGTAAACATAATACATCGTGTAAAACATGAATATTGAATAGCATAAATAAAGAATCATTAGTGAGCATCTTTATCATCGTGCGCGATCATCAATGTTCATCATCTATTCTCTAAATGTTCCAATGCCGCCAAGGACCGGTGGAGCAAAAATTGAGTATACCGCTTATACATCAAGAAGGTTGTTGTACATTCAACGTGAGTCGGATTTACCCTTTCGCCTCGAGGTGGAAGCTAATCTCTTGATCCACTTCCAAGGAAGGTCGACAGAATTACTATTGTAACGCCTCGGCCCCTAAAGATTCGCTTAAGATCCACTTCATTATCGCTGAATGGACCACACCCCGCTAATTAATCCTCTGGCGCTTTTGTCCTCGCTTCACAAAAGGTTTGAACCAGAGTTAATTCTCTCCTGCTGCATACGCCACGTTTGCTTAGGGCCGGTTTGCCTTAAGCCATGCATAAAAGTATTGTTAGGTAGTTTGGTGTGAGAGAAAATATTGTTCGGTGGGTCGATAAGCCAGCGCATTATAAGCCAAATATGACCAAGCGAACATGTTGTTAAGCTTTTAAGTTGGTTCGCTTCCTTAGGTTTCGATATGGGACTAAAGTCTCATAGCTAGTGTGACTTAGCCATTCGCCCACCCCACCCACCGCCCAACATGGCCCATTTAGCGAGGGTCTCACATACACTCTACCCTTGAGGACTCGACATCCTCGCTGAGGGGCCAACCAACCTACCCAAACAGGATAATGTCCAGGATTGACTCTCTTGGCCACGCCCATATTCCCAGCCCTCGCCCAAGTGCCATGCTCTTATAGAGCCATGCGCAACCTGTCCGAAAGCTCCCGAGCCAGTATGTCCAAATGTTCGTGGAACCGCGAGAGTTGGCTCGATACCATTTGTAATGCCACAAACCGGGAAGACGGCTAAAATCCACTCTACATGTTGAATGGACCACACATGCTAATTAACTCTCTTCACGCTTTCGGGTCTCGCTTCACAAGCGAAAAGGTTCGAACTCCGAGTTAATTCTTTCCTGTGCTCGGTGCATAAGGGCTATTCTTCATGGCACGCCCAAGAAGTTCAAGGTATCATATGGTAAAGAGGACCTCAAGAGACTATTGTAATAGGGATTTAGATAGATTTGTGATAGTGTCTTCGCTTTTGATAAATACTTTTCAATGTAAACCGTAACATTTGTAATATAAATCTTGATGGATTTGTGATCTATGTGAATCTAGTCTACATAGCAAATATAGAGTACCACACAAAAATATAAAAATAAATTATAAAATAACAAAAAGGCAAAAAGAGATCATCGCCGGTTCACTCAAACACCGGCAGTGATGATTGACATAGCACTGCTGGCTCAAGTACTGAATCGGTAGTGTTCACTCAACACTGCCGGTTGCAACCTATCAAGTATAAACTCGGTCTTTGCTCAAAAAAGTATATACTCGGTCAAGGTTAAACTAGTTTGACTTGAAAATATCCCAAACTTGCATTCTTTTTGTGATCGAGGGAGTAACATACATCCAAATTTTCTATATACCATGAAAGCTTTACATCTTTTAGATAAGTGCAAAGATGGTCATCACATTTCCCAACACTATTCGCTGTAACAAGAATATCTGAGAGCATAAAGTGATCCGTACGTGCCAAAGGAATCTAGACACAAGTTCTAGTGTTCCTTGGACTTGGAGTTGAGAGTAGGTTAGCATAATCACCAGGGCCATAGACCTCAAACAGTTCCGAAAAGAACCTTTCTTCCTCCAAGGATTGCACCCCATGTCACGGCAGAGCTGGTCGTTGTACCAAGTGTTCAGGATCAAGATGTTGACCGGCGGAAGTATCTTCCACAGTATCTTCATGTACTTCTCCCATTCGAGCACATCCTTCTGCATTGCCGCGACGTTCAGTAGTCTGAAGCTGCTGTCCAAGAAGCGTGCCAACCACTTGGCGCGAATGTCGGAGGCGTAGATGTTCGAATGGGTGTCAGAATATCCGATCACGGCGAGCTGAGGTATCTTAGGATTTATGCACTCTCTGTTTGTGAAACATGCATGTTTGAAAAATTTAGCACGACTCATAAATGATGACCAAGATCGAGAGTTCAAATTAGGACAAATGGTGAGAAACATATATACAAATATACTGTAGAGAGGCACAGTAGTGGATTCTGACCCAATCGCGACATTCCGGAAGTACTTTGAAGTGAACATGTCCTTGATCTTCTCGTCGCCCTTGAACCCGGTGCCGAAGATCACCACGTCGCTCTTGACCGGCGACGGCTCGCCCTCCACGAGCACGCCTTCCTTGCATAAGCTGAATGTCTTGGACTTCTTGAGCATGATGCTGCCTTCTTCCAGCCTCTTGTAGTGGTCCTTGGGTGAAACGTAGATGAAGGCCGCAGCCAGCGCATGGAACAAGCTGTGGTCAGGCACCATGCCGTGCTTCTTCATTGGGATGGAGTAGTAGCTCTCGGCCAACTTATAGAACGCCCACCTCTACACACACAGTTAAATTAAACACACAAATTATTTAATTTATTTCTGAATTCATCACTCCGAAAAGTAGTATATATGTTTATCAGTTATTAATTATTACATAAGTAGTAATAACTGGATGCATTAGACATTAGTGTTTACTAGCACATATACCTGTGCGTTGCAACGGGAGAATAATTTATTGTATTGTCAGTGGCACAAGCAGATACAGTTTTCACACTCATCGAGTTACAGATAAGAAATTGCTGAAATTCTTCTCCAACTAACTTTCCACATTCAATAGCAAGTTGTTTCCTTCTCTCTCCGATTTTTTTTCGTCACGTATGTATTTTCTTTATCGCAGTCGCTTATATCAATTCAGATCAAACATGACCACCATCAACCTGCCGCCAGCTACTGACTCGCATAGATATGGCCATGCCATTTAGGTTGAGCTGGGGGTTGCAATCGCTTTCTGGCTTGCGCTTAGCTTTCCCAGGGCTGCCCTCCAGCCAGCCCCTGCTAGCCCCTAGCTGCTCCAATACCGGAGTTAAGGCCTCCATTGGCTCACCCTCCAACCAATCATCGGAACGTGAGTTGTTAAGCTAACACATGAGCCGGATTATACACAACCCAGTACATCACTACTCAACTGTTCTAATCATCTTTAAACGTTAGGGGAAGCGAACCAAAAAAGGGCTAAAATTTTGGCTCTTTAATTAATAATATGTCAGGTATAGGTAGATCTAGAACACATAAATAATTGGAGACGATGAGAGTAGATATAGATATAGATAAAAATTTCAGCAAATTAATTACATAAAAGCATAGATCTATAGATACATGAAATCTTCATTCTAAAGAATATTATATTATATGTTTACTGTGTAGCCCTAGTCAAAGGAGTGTAACAAAACTGGGTATTTCGTAATTTTTATATGATTTTAAAATTCTCAACTGGTTCAAAAGAAAAAGAAAACATAAAAGAAAGGTAAAGGCCTACCGTGCGGCCGGTATTTTTCTGATTTTTCCGTGATTTTTATGATTTTTAGATTTCTAAACTGGTTTAAAAGAAAAGGCAACAGAAAAGAAAGGAAAAGGGCTTATAATGCGGCTGAGCCATGGGCTTCGCCCAGCCCGCAGCGCAGCCTGAGGCCAATCCGAGGCCCACCACAGTAGGCCCAAGCAAATAAAATAAAAAATAAAATGATTTTTTTGCATCAGGAACTCTAAATTTGTTTCTAAAATCGCTTAAGCCCTTCTATTATTTCTTTGTCTCTAGTATCTTTGCATCTGAAACCACGTTATTTCTTTCACATTCCTCCTCAACCCCCTTCTTCTTCTTCCGTCTTCAAGCGCGACTTGAAAAAAGAAACGAGGAAAGAAACGAAAATAGGATCTGAATAGATATCAGAGTTGGATGGAATTTATTAGTTCTTTCACATTCCTCCTCAACCCCTTCTTTTTTCGTCTTCCATACTGAACACGACTTCGAAAACAAACGAGGAAAGAAACGACCAGACATAAAAATAGAGTCCCAATAGAGATCGAGTTGGACTAAAATTTATTAGTGGTTGAAATTTTGCCTCTTTATTATTAGGTATAGAATATAGATATATGTTTATGTCAGGTAAGGTACTCTACTGTCACATAAGTGGGCCATCGACATGGGCTATCGGCTCGAAGCGCTGGACATGTGGGGTGGACTTTGGGCCTGCTCAAGCAAACTGCACAGGGTGGAAGATAATACGAAGTCGTCGTCTACCTCCGTCTAGGACTCAGCTTCCTCGCTGTTCTTGCTATCTCTACCCCTGATTCCATGCTGTACCCTAGTCCAACTCTCTAATCCTTCCCAATTTGCAGTTACTCTTGCATAAGTGCTATTCAGTAGTGAAGGATCGTAACAGTTTATCAGTTGTTAATTAACGATTACAGAAGTCCCTATGTCCCTAAAAGAACGCATCTATGATATGCGTGTCAGTTAAAGTGCTTCACGTTTAACCAAGTTTTCAGTAAATAGTATTCATATTTATGACTCCAAATCAATTTATTATGAAAATATATTTCGTAATTAATGTAATGATATTTATTTGATATTATAAATATTTATACGTTTTTATCTATAATTAGCCAAACTTGGTATACTAAAATATGATACTGTTACAGAATAGCATTCTTTTGGGACCAAGGGAGTACTACCAATAAATGAATGCGTTAGACATTAGTTTATATAGTTACCAAGGGAGTCAGGAGAGTGGCCAAGATCGACAGGAGGAGGCCCTCGCCAGGCTTGTGGATGAGGAGTTCAGAGAAACGGTTGAGAGTGAAGTTTTTGCCATTGATGCCCCAGACGGAGTAGTCCGGTACGATGCAGTGCTTTGTCCGGACCACCATTGTACATGGGTGAGCAGTGCCTACAGCACAAACCAACGTTAAGTGGATGTGTACAGAACATTTTTAAATACTGTAACTCTGTAGTTTTAGTTCTAACAACTGTTCAAAATGCTATAAGATATATACAAATATCAATTTAGATTGTCAAATAGATAATATTAGACTTCTAGAGGGAGTGATGAAGAGGACTATATATCTGCGCCGTACCATTTACTTCAGCACATTCAGTGGCAATATCAAGTGCAGATTTCATGTAGCCAACGACAGTCACACGCTTGCCCGTGATCATCTCCTTAGCTTTACTTGTGCCCATTTTGGCATAATCCATGGAGTGGATCACCTGCCCATCAAATACTTCTGGACCTTTACCTGTTGGGAATGTGGGTATGTCGGGCACACCACTGAACATCCCTATGCAAAGAACGACAAAGTCTGCTTTGTGTGTCTGCATAAAGGTAAAACCAATTTCTGGATTATACAACGGTACTCTGTATGTAAACATGCATACTCTGTTGTTGTTTGTTTGTAGGCTCAAGTTTTTTTTTAATTCCTAGGTGCATATTTATATTATGGTCTGTTTGGGTCGCCACAAACTACAGCATGTGTTGTATTATGAGGTCCTGTTTGGATCACCTAGAACTAGGTATTAGTCTAACTTCTCTAAAGTTTAGTCCTATTTGTATACATGGACTAGTAGCTACTACTAGTGATTTGTGGTGGACCTAGAAATTCATAGAAGAGGTGGCTAAAGTTCATCTTCAAGCTCTAGTGCTCATTCTTTCTATTTTCTATGTCTATATATAAATTAGGAGAGACTAGAGGAGATACTCCATTGTCACGGACGAGGAAGCAGAGGAGGCTGAGGTGGCCCCTTGGGTGGGAGAGCTTGAGCCCCCGCCCGCCCACCGCTGAATCCGCCCATGTTAGCGAACTAGTTGTTGTTAGTTAGGGACTAAAAATAGTCCACCCATTTAGATGGTTTAGGACTGAACTTTAGTTTTGGTATCAAAAGTGTCCACAACTGTTGAGTTATGCTGAGAAGATATGAATTTTGTTGGGTTACGTACATATATAAATCCAGATCTGTTCAGGTATATATGTCCATATCTCTATCTTTACACCTAAAAAGTCTCTAATGCCATCATCTACCCGGTGATACCAAACCTTGATCACCTTCACGTGTCGGAGTCCGATACGTATCATACTGTACTCAGAGCTCACACATCCGTGTCCTACCGGTTATAATCTGAATACTATATCCATGTGTCCGTGTCGATCACGAAGTCCTCGGAGCTCATGTAAATCCGCGATGAGATTACTGAGATTCAATTTAAAAATTGTGACTCCAGTGCAACGCATGGCACGGGCATATATCTAGTCCATATATATTTACTTATATCATGTCCATGTCCATGTTCATGTCCATGTCCATAGCTGAACGGATATAGATATGCTCACGAAACAACCATTCGATACGAATATTGCTGTCACACATACATGAAAAAATAATTTTCCAAATATGGATATGGACATATATTTGAATTCTTTTCAGTAATAATATCATATCTGTATTATTTATAGAAATACTTTTCCTTCAAAATATAAATGTGAGTAAAATATAGTTATGTTGCTTTTTTTTTATCTAGCTCGGTTCATCCTTTTGAGTTTTGACCATGTCAATTTTTTTATTGTTTGATAGTGTACCGCATGTACGTATATTTTAGCGAAAAAAAGAGTACGGAGCTGCGTCATTTGTATCTCGGGCACAACACGAATGCATGCTAGCTCACCTCCACGTGGCCGTCGGCGTCGGCCACCGACAGCCGCCACTCGCCGGCGCCGGAGCCGAACGCCTGGTCGTTCCCAGCCCACTCCTCCCACGCGGCCATGGCCTGCTCGCCGACGCCGTGGTACTCCATGCCGACCACCCGGTGGCCGAAGCGGACGCAGCTGAGCACGCCGAAGTGGCGCGCGTACGCGTCGAGGTACGCCGCCACCTGGTGGTGGCTCGGGAACTCCTCCGTCACGCTCTCCGGCCACGGGAAGTCAGAGTACTGGTACATGGACCGCGGCGTCTGGAGCTTGGTGCTGGCCACATGAAACAGCTGATTTTGCGGGAGCAAAAAAATTTGCCGGGTGCTTTTATCGGGCATCGGCAAGAAATCTTTGCCGGGTGTGCTGACCTGGCGGCACCGGCAAAGAAAGGCCTCCGGCAAAGCAGCCTTTGCCCGGTGCGCACTCGGCAAATTCCAGCCGTCGGCAAAATTGGTCATTGCCGGTGCCGCCACTCAGCAAAATATGGCCGCGGCAAAGGTGGCGGCTTGACGGCAATGCCAGCTGCCGTCAGCCTTTGCCGGTGCCACGCCGTGAGGCACCGGTAAAAGAATTTTTTTTTAAAATTTCTTTGCCGGGTGCCCCATGACCTGGCACCCGGCAAAGGCTTCTTTCTTTAAGGGTGTTGGTGGCACACCGCAAATTATTATTATTTTTTTTTTTTTGACCCCATTTTTTGTGGGGACTTGCTACAATAAATATATCCCTATTTCAAAATTTGGGACAATTATGAGTTTTAACTATATTTACTTAATTTTTTTCGTTTCATTGAATTTTTTCAACTATTCTAAATT